GACACCGGGTGCTTTCACGCCGTTAGCCTGACCCGGGGGAGTAGCAACCTTTAAAACCCTGCTTCAGTATTTAGCCGACCCCGGGGTGCACCCTTTTAAACCGCTGCTTTTACGTATGTTTGCCTGACCCGGGAGTCCCCACCCTTGAAACCGGCTTTTAGCAAGTTAGCCGCCCGGTGACCTAGCACCTTTAAACCGCGCTTTACGTACGTTAGCCTACCCGGTGAAGTCAGCCCTTTAAAATGCTTTCAACGTTTTGCCGCCCGGGTGACGTCAGCAAAACCTTGAAACCGGCTTTCACGCATCGTTACCTGAAACCCGGTGAGTCAGCACCCTTTAAACCCGGGTTTTTACGTATCGTTAGCCCACCGGTACGTCAGCACCTTGAAAAACCGCTTTTAGTATCTTTGCCCCGACCCCGGGGGGACGTCAGACCTTGAAAACCCCTGCTTTCAACGTTGCCTGACCCCGTGACGTCACACCTTGAAACCGCTGCTTTTCGGTGACGTCAGCAGCAAGAACCGAGAATTCCCTGTGTGGGTTCTGGGGCCCCACTGTGGGGAAAACAAGAATAAACCCACTGCCTCACCAGCAAGCATGTCATAGGAGTCGGCTAACTGGGAAAATTCTTCAAAGTTGGAGTACATCTGAACGAGAGGCAAAGAAACAAGTCTGCATTAAAAAAAAAAGGTGTTGTATAAGGAGACTTTCATTTCTTGAAAGGTGTACTTGATACCACCATTACACATTTTGCATGATCTTCATTTCTCTGTATTCATTATATGAATTCAGCTTGGCTCTCTGCTGCAGCATTCTTGTCAGACCACCGAAACATCTCACTTTCTTCTTTTCCACCTTGTACCTCAGCGAAAAGAGTATGTCTCCTGATCTCCTCCTGAGTATATCTCCTGAGTATGTCTCCTGATCTCCTCCTGAGTATATCTCCTGATCTCCTCCTGAGTATGTCTCCTGATCTCCTCCTGAGTATGTCTCCTGATCTCCTCCTGAGTATGTCTCCTGATCTTCTCCAGAGTATGTCTCCTGATCTCCTCCTGAGTATGTCTCCTGATCTCCTCCTGAGTATGTCTCCTGATCTCCTGAGTATGTCTCCTGATCTCCTGAGTATGTCTCCTGAGTATGTCTCCTGATCTCCTCCTGAGTATGTCTCCTGATCTCCTCCTGAGTATGCCTCCTGATCTCCTGAGTATGTCTCCTGATCTCCTCCTGAGTATGTCTCCTGATCTCCTCCTAAGTATGTCTCCTGATCTCCTCCTGAGTATGTCTCCTGATCTACTCCTGAGTATGTCTCCTGATCTCCTCCTGAGTATGTCTCCTGATCTCCTCCTGAGTATGTCTCCAAGTATGTTTAAGCTAACAACTCCCATTCTTTTCTGGTAGATGGGTTTGCTCCTTCGTGGTTTTCCTATCTCGTGGCTCCAAGTTTTACACCCAGGTTATGAAGTCTATTCAGTAAAAAATTCATATGACAGCCAAAAAAAGAGCAGCTCAGATGTTTTTGAAAAACATGTGAGGGCTTGAAGTCAACTTATCACTAACATCAAAAAGTGACATTGTAATTATTCTGGTCATGTTAGGAGAAGAAGACAACTGGAATTTGTTGTCACCACTGGAAAATGAGACAGAGGAAGACAATGTAAGAAGATTCTTGACAGCCTTTTCTCATGGCATGAAGTATTGTCAACACTGATACCTGCTGCTGAAAATCGTGGATTGTGGGAAGGTATGGTTGCTCACACATTGACAAGATACTCGATGATGATGATGAATGATTTCAGCCAGTCTTTTGATTTCTTCTGATACGAAAGGGATTGTGGGGAGGCATGATTGCTCACAACAGTTGACAAGATACTTGATGATGATGAGTGATGGTCTTCTTTCTTTGCATTTACCGGCTGTGAATTCTGGTGCAAGGTGCTAGTTTTTCCTCCACCTAGACACTTCAGTCTTGCACGAGGACCCGACTTTTATATGTGCATAGATTGCATAGGCTTTTTTTTTGGGGCGTCCTCCTTCACCAAAATAAAACAAACACACTACACAGGCTCAATGTTGACTGTGAATGCCCAACCCCTGCTTCAGCTATGTAAATGTTGGAAAACTCAGCAGTTTGGTCCTAGAAACACACACCCACGTTAGCGCAGTCGATAGGAGGCTCGCTTTCAAATCCAGCTGCGACTCGCTGCAGCCACAGTCGGTGTTCAAAACCGGGCGGTTCCTAGTGTTTACCCAGCCTCTAGGAAATGAGTACCAGAGTGACACTCTGTGGTAAATGGAGGAACGTCGCTGTAGCTACAGAGTTACGTGCAGATAGGTTCTTATCAGCTGTCCATACTGGTGGCAGAGCACTTATGGTTCATAACTGTGTACAATGACGCTGGTTCACATCTCCCGACTTTACCCTTTTTAAACACACATCGACTTAATTTCAGAGCAATTTTTACCATGTGATTGTTAAGAACCTCCTCAGGCAGCAACATTCATCATCATTTTCAAGTGCCTTGCCGACTGGCATGGCCGATCCATACCCTACGATCTTCAACTACCCCTGCCCCAAACAACGCCAGTCCTATGTTGGTTAACAAGACTTTGTGTGCCTCTAGTGTGCTTCTCATGCTTGGCTGTGCCGATCTTTACTCCCAATTTGCATATTCTTAGAAGTGCTGTGGACACGTTGCTTCCAAAATCATCAGAACGTCCTATCTTTCTAAGGGCAATGACAATGTCTGCGTGATCCATGGGCCGGCCATCTTCAATTAATGCTGTACCTGCTAGTCTATCAGTTCTCTCATTACCAACAACGCCTGCATGCCCAGTTCAAGGCATCATTATAAAGTTAGTTCCCATGCAGCATTTCACCAAGTTAAAAAAAGCATTAATCCCTAAGATGACGTAAATCCTTTAAAAATGAACTTGATGATGTACAGTAATATTTGACAGAAAATAAACTTTGTGATCTTCTGTATGCATTTTCACCAATTAACCCTTTCACCACAATTCCCATAAATGTCACTTTTCGACTTGTCTATAGCGACCTGTTTACAGAATCTGTCGTTTATACTACTGGCTGCTTTCGCGCCTGCACAAATGTTTTGGAGGCCAGAGCATGAATACATTAACTAACAGCAATATTTAGAGCGATTTTCATGTGAGCTAAATGGCTTTTTTTAAAGCCAAGCTGGTGTCAGAGGACCCGGTAAATCTCAGTGACAGAGGTCAACCCACAAGTCAAACGATACATGTGTGTTTTTTTAACCCCCCCAGGTTACGTATTCCATTTAATGTTTTATTGTGTTTATGTTTATAGATTAGTCCTTTGATCTATCTTAATATCTATATCACCTCCCCCCCCCCCCTTAAAAAAAATTTATTATAATAAATACATTTTAAAGAATTTATTAGAAATATTTTTTTATGGATTACTTTTTAGATTGCCAACGGGGTCATGACCTATTCTTTGTTACAGTCTTCCTGGGATGAAAGGGATACACAAATAAAGTCAATGATTTATGGACTACTTTTTGTAATGCCAACGGGGTCATGACCTACTCTTTGTTATAGTCTTCCTGGAATGAAAGGGATACACAAATAAAGTTAATGATTTATGGATTACTTTTTAGAATGCCAATGGGGTCATGACCTATCCTTTGTTATAGTCTTCCTGGAATGAAAGGGATACACAAATAAAGTCAATGATTTATGGACTACTTTTTGTAATGCCAACGGGGTCATGACCTACTCTTTGTTATAGTCTTCCTGGAATGAAAGGGATACACAAATAAAGTCAATGATTTATGGACTACTTTTTGTAATGCCAACGGGGTCATGACCTTTGTTACAGTCTTCCTGGGATGAAAGGGATACACACAAATAAAGTTAATGATTTATGGATTACTTTTTAGAATGCCAATGGGGTCATGACCTATTCTTTGTTATAGTCTTCCTGGGATGAAAGGGATACACAAATAAAGTCAATGATTTATGGACTACTTTTTGTAATGCCAACGGGGTCATGACCTACTCTTTGTTATAGTCTTCCTGGGACGAAAGGGATACACACAAATAAAGCCAATGATTTATGGATTACTTTTTGTAATGCCAATGGGGTCATGCCCTATTCCTTGTCAGTGTTCCTGGTACAAAAGGGGTACATACAAATAAAGTCAATGATTGACAGACACATACTGAGCTTTAAGTGCTTCAAGTTCCCTCATTCTCTCTTCCTGCTGACGAAGCTCCTCTTCTGACTGGACAATCTTAGCAATAGGAATGTCTTCACGGACAGTCCGTCGGTTGAAGCGATTCAGTCCATAATGCTGTGTTACTAGGGAAAAAATGTAGTAATAATAAAACTGGATATAAAGACATAAATGAAAAAGTATGTTGGGATCTTGCAAAAGAAACTTCATCTACTGCATTTGCTGTTGAAAATGGTGTTAGCATGCTGTTGTGGTTTACAGCTAGGTTGCATTATCTGCGCCCTTCGACCCAACACAGCTGATTTCAGCAAAAGTTTAATTAGTCGCTCTTTACAACATAAATTCTCTGTGTGGATTCCAGGGCCCTTATATAGTGAAAACAAGAATAGACCCACTGCCTACCCAAAAGCATGTCATAAGAGTTGACTAATTGGGAGCTTCCTTTGAAGTCAGAGTGCATGAGTTATGAGTTAGATTATCTTCACAGCACTCCGGACACATCCATAGGCGCTCAGATTCCCCTCAACATATTCATCAGTGTCGTGCGGTTAATAGTACCAGTCCTATGTTGGTTAACAAGACTTTGTGTGCGTCCAGTGTGCTTCTCATGCTTGGCTGTGCCGATCTTTACTCCCAATTCGCGTATTCTTAGAAGTGCTGTGGACACGTTGCTTCTAAAATCCTCAGAACGTCCTATCTCTCTAAGGGCAATGACAGTGTATGCATGATCCATGGGCCTGCCATCTTCAATTAATGCTGTATCCGCTAGTCTATCAGCTCTCTCATTACCAACAACCCCTGCATGCCCTGGGACAAATATGAAAGTAACCACACACAGGAGAATTTTGCATTGACTCAAGCCACTGTCTGCTTGTTGCGCGCTGATTTGGGTTAAGTGTGATATTGTGGGAAGGGACAATGGTATGCCTGTACTTCCTGTAAGTTCACGAGGAAAGAGTGTCAATATGATCCGAGTATTAAGAGGAGACCCGTGAAAACGCCTATTCATGAACAAGGCGTGCTTGCACGAGAGAAAGTGGACGCGTAGGATTCTGTGTGGTGGGCTGAAAGCGTGGATAACGAGATAAAGTGTGAATTAAGTGACAGCGTGATTCTCGGGTAACATCAGCCACCCACATAAGCGTGATCTTCGGGAACACTCACATGAGCGAGTCTCGAGAACACCCACAGGTGTCATGATTCACGAGAACGCCCACACAAGCGTGCCTCTCGTGTAATCACCATCCACCTACACGGATTCGACATATATAAATTGGGCTGCGTAGACAGTCCAGAGAGTGAGCTGTAGCCTGAGGGCTAAAGCCCCTCGGGGGCAATCAAGAAGCAGTGAAGATAGAGCGAGAAGCGAGAAGAGAGAGAAAACGAGAGTCAGAGACCAAGTCAGGGTCCAGGTAATCTCTCGAGTCTAACAGACAAACATACCGTACGACTATCGGGCATTTAGGTTCGAGTAAGTGTCGAGATTGCGGTACATGTCAAAAGTATGAGAGGACTTATGGTAGAAGTCCTGTCGGTCATTGGAGTCTAACCGACTAGAATACCGTACGACTATCGGGCATTTAGGTCCGAGTAAGTGTCGGGATTGCGGTATGGGAAATATGGTCCTGCTGGCAAAGTAAGTCCAGGGGACGGGAAGACCAGTAGTGTCTGGTTTCGGAGTACGGCAAGAGAAATCCGTCTCCAGTCAGCCGTGTTGTATGCTGAATCAATATCAAGGTCCAGTGAATGGGAGAAGTCGTCCTGTTCAGCTGTACGACGCGTCCAGAGAGTGGGACGCCGTCATCCTAGTATCTGCAGTAGTCCAGGAGAGGTCACTACACATTGAGAGCTAGAGAGCTGTGGGGACAAATGAACGATGTGCGAATGTCAGCTGTGATCAATAACTACGTCTCTGCATTTGTGTCATGTATCCTGTTAAATAAACTTGTATGACGGTGTCATCGTCGTCGAGTTGTCTTGTTAAGAAAGGAAGCTGAAGAATACCTGCTAGACACTTGGTAGTGTGCTGACTCAATTTAGCACACAACACTGCTTAACCAGCCTGCCTCGACCCAACGTACCATACTCAAAGAATCACCTAACACGCACATGCAGGAATAGTCCTGTGATCCCAGCCACATGAAAGCCTGTGTCACTGCCATTACCTCCATCATCATACTGCGGGTGGTCATGGAGAAGGCACTGCTGGCTTCCCTAACTGTTCTGCCTGAAGAGCGAGCTGTAAATGCCTATGCACCATTACGTCCTTGTGTAATGGAAGTCGGAGTGCATCTGCCTGAGAGGCAAGGAACCAGCAGTCTGCATACAAATGAGTCAGATCTGTCAAACTGATGCACATGCAACACTCAGGTTCTAGAACAGGACTGCAGTCCAGAAGTGGACGAACAACCAGAATTTTCTGCCAAAGTTTACAGCTGGTGAATGGGAAGAAGAAGAAAACGCGAATTAAGGGGCAGCGGGTCTGTTCCATGCCCTCCGGCCCAGCACATCTGATTTAAGTGAAAATGTAAACAGTCGCTCTTTACAACAAGAATTAAGGGGCAGTGGGGTCTACCCCATGCCCCCCCCCCCCCAAAAGGGGGGATCGAACTGACCAGTCAGAACTCTGACAAGAGTCTGGTGAAACAAGCACTAACACCATTACATTACCAACATTGTCGAAATACACACTAACACACATCCTATCATTCTTACTTTCTTGATTTTGGATCTGGTAAGCCAAAGCTCCGTCTTCGTGGACAGACCACTGCTTTCGAACTGAAACCAAAAATAAAGATAACTTAAATAATGAGGACACAAACAATACATTGCACAATTTACTGACAGGCCTATTTCGCTGTATCTCGTTAGGTGAGTTACTACAGAGTTGCATCAACATAAAATCAGCACAAAAAAGTGCCAGGTAAGTCACATGACTGCAGTGAACTTCGGGCAACTAGACAAACCACGATGCATCGGAAGAGACTATTCGCATTTGTTCAGTTGGAATTATTGCATGTTTCTTCTTGGTCCATGGTATTCTAAAAATGTGTATTTAGCATTTCAGTTCACCTCGTTATAGAACTTTAAGAATAACCATGTGGTTGAGATCAACCATATGGTTAAAGTCTGCAGTATACTAATACATCTGACGAGATACAGTGACATCCACCAGGCAATAATTTCAGCAACTTGCGGAAGTGTCATTATTATTTTAATTCACAGCAGGAAAACGCTTACCTGCATTGTCCCAGAATAAGTCTGCACCACTGATTTCTTATTTAAGGTTTAATTTTTTTTCCACTGTGGGTTCAGAGGCCCTATTGTGGGGAAAACAAGAATAGACCCACTGCCTCCCCAACAAGCATATCGTAAGAGTTGACTAATTGTGGGTTTTCTTTGAAGTTGGAGTGCATCTGTCTTAGAGGCAAGGAACCAACAGTCTGCATACAAAGAAGTCAGATCAATAAAACAGATGTGCACGCAACACTCAGGGTCTGGAACAAGTTTCAAGTCCAGAGTGGATGAATAATCAGAACTTTCCGCTGGCGTTTACAGCCCGTGAACGCAAAGAAGTATATTTAAATTTTGTGTGTGTGTGTCATATTCTTTCATGAAAAAATATTAATGTGCGAATTACAAGGACTATCATCATTATCTGTTCTACATTATTTCAACACAGATTTCTATAGTCTGAAATGGCAATAATGATTACAATAATAAAAATAATAACAACTGAATTTCCCTGTGTGGGTTTCAGGGCTTCATTTTGAAGAATAAAGAACAGAGAACCGGCACTCTTAACAATCAAGTCATAAGAGTCCGTTAATTATGGGTATTTCCTTCAAAGCTGGAGTGTCTCTGTCTGAGAGACAAGAAACCAACAGTTTGTATAAAATAAGCTAGATCTGTAAAAGTAATATAACAGATCTGTAAAAGTAGTAAAACAGATCTGTAAAAGTAGTAAAACAGATCTGTGAAAGTAGCAAAACAGATCTGTAAAAGTAGTAAGAGATCTGTAAAAGTAGCAAAACAGATCTGTAAAAGTAGTAAAACATATGTAAAATGGATGTGCACACAAAACTCAAAAGTTCTGGATCAAGACTAAAATCCAGAAATGGATGAACAACCAAAACTTTCTGGCCAGAGTTTACAGCTGGTGAATACCAGGACGAAGATAATTGCTGTTAAAAAGGGCATCAGAATGCTGTTGTGGTTTACAGCTAGGTTAAATAACTTAAAAAGCTGTTGAGCATGTGCTAACTATTACATGTCATTTACAAGATTTAGAATTAACTATAGATAGCAATAATTAAGTAATAAGTGTCACATTATCTAGTAATTGCTAAATGACCTGCAGTAGTAAATTAATAATATTGACCATACAGTAAAATAAAACCATCAAGCATGTCATAGGAGTCGACTAACTGGGGGCACCCTTTAAAGCTGGAATGCATCTGTCTGAGACTTTTCTTTACTAAATTTGAGGCAGTGAATGTTGACTAGTAGAGTTTGAGGTCACTGCAAAGTTATAAATTAACAATTAAAATATAATAATGATAATGTTATGTCTATAATTACTCATTAATGTGTGTGTTTTTTCTTCCTCATTTTTTTTTATGTTTCCTTCTTTCGATTTTGAACTTCTAATAGTCCTATATAATACAAAATTCTTCTTCTTCTTTAAGACAATGCCATGTGTCGTTAGTAGTAATAGTATTACTAGCGATTTCGTTGTTATGGAATGTAAACAATTAAACCGGAAATGGATTTGCTTGGTAACGCAAGGGACTTCCTGTCCTG